CCATCCTTCTCAGAAACACCTGGCTGATATCATTTGGCTCTGTGTCCCCACCAGAATCTCATTCCAAATTTATTCCCCACGTGTTGGAGGACGGGCCTGGAGGGAGATGATTGGAGTGGGGTGGATTTCTCCCCCACAGTTTTTGCGGTAGTGGATGAGTTCTCACGAGAGCTGATGGTTTTGAAGTTTGGCAGTTCCTCCCTTGCTCTAGCACTCTCTCTTCTGCCACCGTGTAAAATGTGCCTTGCTTCTCCTTTGCCTTCTTCCGTGATTCTAAGTTTCCTTAGGCCTCCCCTGCCATCCAGAACGGTGAGTCAATTAAACCCCTTTTTGAAAATATATTACCCGTCGCAGGTAGTTCTTTATAGCAGTGTGAAAATGAATTAATACACTGGCTATTTGATATTTGAACAAAACCAGGATCTTATAGTTAAAGAAGAGCTGGCTGATGGGCTGTCATCTTTATTCTGTGCAATTAGCTACCATTTTTGTCTTCTGAGAATTGAAGTATTGTCTTGGCTATAAAAAGGAAGGAGCTGTTGGGTGTACAGGTATGTGCCGTCACTGCGGTTAACTTGGAAGACTATTACCTTGTGTTTGGGTGAATAGAGATATTTTCTTCAATGTACAGCTAGTTTGTGGAGTCAGTGTAAAAAGTTGTAGTAAATCAAGTTCTGCCTGCTATACTTTAGGATACCTGTGCTGCTCTGTTACAGTCAACTGAGCAAAGGTAATTTAAAAATTGCTTCTCTATCCATTTCTATCAAAGCTGTAAGAAGCAAGACTTTGGCAGCTAGTGTTCTTTTTAACTTGTAATATCATTTTAGATGTTTTTATTCTTTCCATTTTTATTTTGCTGTTTCCCAGAATTGTTCAGTAGACCAGGTACTGTGTAAAAAGGAAATGTGTTTGCATTCACCACTGCATGTCCATTGTTATATACACATTATTCTAGAGTTAAGGCTTAACAAATATTTGGTGACTAAATGATCATGCCTCTCAGCTCCGATCAGACCAGTCTAGTCACAGACCATGCTCATGTGGTAGTTTCTAAACCTAGGAAATAGGCATTTTTGGGTTTTTTCCATTTCTTTAGTCTTTTCTCAGTGTAGCAGCCCAAATAGTTCTTTCAACCCTTATGTGAAATCATATCACTTTTCTGCTCAAAACCTTCCACTGTTTTCTCACCCAATGCAAAATAAAAGCCATTAACTCAGATTCATCTCTGAGGCTCTGTGATCTGGAATTCTAGCTTTTCTCTGGTCTCATCTCTTTTCTTTCCCTCATCTTCCCCAATCCAAACACACTGTCATTCTTGCTGTTCCTGAACACACCAAGTATATTCCTGCTTCAGGGCACTTGCCGTCCACTCTGTTTGGGAGACTTTTCCCATAAATGGCCACATAGCTCACTCTCTCCCCTGCTTCACGTCTTTGTCCAAATGCCACCTTACCAAGGAAACTTCCCTAGCCAGCCTATCTGAAACATTCATTTAAACCTCATCAGTCTGTTTTCCTTCCCTGCTTTGTTTTCCCCTTTGTGTTTATCATCATTTTCATCTGCAGTACTATACATGTGCTTGCTTTTCGGCCTGTTAACATGTCATCCGCAGAGGAGTACAGGCTTTTTAAAGTCAGGAATTTCAGTCCTCATTATTTATAACCAGGCCTTGATTGCTGGGAACAGTGATTGGCACAAGGCTGGTACTCATTAAAGAGTTAATGAGTGAAAAATTATCAGCTTCACCTGTAAACTAGAGGTAACAATACCTTGCAATTGTCTTTTGTGCATTAGTGATAATGCATATAAGGTAATTGGCACAGTGCTTAGCACATGGTACTTGCTGAACAAATTATGGCTTTTGTTATTTTTATAATATAGTAAAAACCTAAAATATCTCCTATTTCATCTAATTCTTTGAACATATATGGATAAATTCTCTTATGTCCAAGGCACCATTTGTATAGATTATAAAGACAGAAAAGGCAAAGCCCTTAGCCTTATAGGAGTAGCACATAAACGTGTAAACTATTTTTTGTATTTGGGTACCCCAAATTCTTGCATGATTCATATTTAAATTTCTTGAGTTCCCAGATATCTCAAGTGCTGATAGGAAGCCTTTGCAACAATAACAAAAGTATAAATTCACATGCACTTTCCTCCTCTGTAAGAATGCCTTTGAACATCTCTCTTTCTCTAGGTTATATTCTTGTCTAGAAATTTGAACGTCTCTAGAAAAGGTAGAACACAAACTCAGTCTGTTTCAAATCACCACCTTTATCTATGCTTTTTATATCACCCACATTTCTGTATCATGAATATGTACATCTATATATATGTATAGATAGATCTATGTATCTTTGTAGTTTCCATACATAGAAACTTTGTATAGAAAAAAACTTTCTATGTATAGATCTATGTATAGAAACTTTGAGATATAAATCACACACTTTTATAAGGAAGTATTAACCCTAAAAAGCAACATAGAGATAATGTAATGAATGTCATTGTAGTCTATGGTTAGTTTTAACGATAACATTTTGCCATGGATTCAAACATTTTTCTTAGTAAATTGATTATTACAGATGTTGTTGAATACTCCTATCTTATTTCCCAGATTCAATTTTCCTTTCTCATCAGAGATAATCCTGACTTTGTTGTTTCTAATTACAATGAATTTATTTTTTTTAAGTTTTATAACTAGTAAATTCTGAATGTAAATCACAAATATGTCTTGATACACCTTTAGATTCACAGAATAGAGCAAAAGAAACAAAACAAAATATCTCATTTTAAACTCTGGAGGTCTACCTTCTCTTGAAAAATCAGGAAACCTGGTCAGTCCAGGTCTTAATTTCTTCACAATTTCTTAGTTTCATCAGGTGTCCAGATGAAACTGAGAGATGGTTATCTACTCATCAACAGAATTTCATTTAGTGTCCACTAACTTACTTCTGGGCTGTTTCTTTAATTTATATTTCTTATTAGGGCTTTATAAGTATTTGCATTTGTAACTTGTTCTAAATCTTTTTACTTTTTTAATTTAAAAAAATAAAAAAATTTTTTTTGAGATGTCTCATTCTGTCATCCAGGCTGGAGTGCAATGGTGCCATTTTGGCTCATTGCAACCTCCGCCCCCTTGGGTTTAAGTGATTCTCCTGCCTCAGCCTCCTGAGTAGCTGGGATTACAGTAAGCGATACTACACCCAGCTAATTTTTGTATTTTTAGTAGAGATAGGGTCTCACCATATTGGCCAGGCTGGTCTTGAAATCTTGATCTCAAGTGACACACCGTCACAGCCTCCCAAAGTGCTGGGATTAAAGGTGTCAGCCACCATGCCCAGCCATTGTTCTCTAAACCTTTAACCCCTTACCAATTTTAAATAAATTATTTCTTTTTAGCTTATCTTCTGCTTCAATTTAATTTTAATTCACTTTGTTGTGCGTTTCTGCTTTGGTAACTATTCTTTTGTTGAAGAAGATGAAAGCAAAATTGATACTTTCCCTTTTCACATTTCCTTGAGTCACCAGTTTACCTACCTTTAAGCAATGGGCCTAATTTTTCATATTTTTCATGAATTGAATGCAATGAATAATGTCCTTCATTTCCCCCCCACCCCTTAGCATTGTTTTATGAGACTGACATTATTTGGAGTTAGAAGCAGCTCACATTCACCTCCTCAACCCTTGAAAGTTTTCTTTTAAATTGTTAAACTAAACCTTTAGGGATTACAATCCCAATCCCAAATCATCTATACTTTGATTTGGTATATATTTTATTCCATTTTTGTCATTAATAGAAATTCTTAAAACATAAATTATTAACAAATAGAAAAACCCATGGTTTTATATTTCAAGGCCTACATGGAGAAAATCCAGTCCAATAACAAAAAATGGTTTTTATACATTTTAATTATTCATCTTAGTTTGAGAATAGTTAATGATCATTGGGGAAAATATACTCTCAATAATTTACGATAATGCCAGATTATAAATGCCACACTGTTTATTGAATACTATGAGGACAAATAACAAATTGGGAAAATATTCACATACATAATTTTCTAATACATAGTGCCTGCAGTACTTCCTCTCTGGAGTATCAGATTATTCCTAGCAAATTCATCTATTTGGTGCAAACCAAGAAATGACTCTGCTGATTTTATATAGAGTCATATACAGGTTATTTTCAGTTTCAGAGTCTAATCTGGCAGTCACAAATTTTCCCATGACTATTATGGTCATCAGAAATAGTTAACAGTGCACCATGGTATAGTTTTTGCAGTTCCTTAAAAGGAATTATATTCTTGATCCAGATCCTAGGTTACATGTGCAACTTTCTAAAGACTTTAAATAGGAAAATGTAATGTATCCATTTTCTTTAATATTAGAGTTGTAATTCTTTTTTCATCTAGAATTTTGGCTTTTATTACTTCTTGTTGGATAAAATGGCATCATTTTTCATTAACTTGTCTTCAAAAGACAGAGAAATAAAATAAATTACCTTAAAGAAATTAAATAGAAAACTAAGGGAACACATACCGAGGCGGTGGTACTCTCCTCAGTCCTTTTTTCTTTGAAAAAAGGAGACCTTAATCTTACTAAGTGTCCTTGGTGACATTTGCAGGTGTTGTCTCTGTGCTCTTTAATGGGGAACTTGCAGTCATAAATACCTCCTGATGAATTAGTTTTACCTTCAGTATTATTCTGAAATTTTTCTTAAAATTCTATATTTGGAGGAAAAATATACTTTCCTGAAATATAAACTGAAATATGACTTCTGTCAAGGTTTGAAGGCTATCTGGCTTTCTTCTACATGGTAAATTAACATGTTCCAGAATACAGGTCAAGAGAGTGTGGGCATGTAGAACATATAATGCACGCTTTGGTAAAGATACGCTACTTTCATTATGGTGCTGATTTTGTGGTAGCACAGTAACTGAAAAAGTTCAAACTGAATATTCAAACTAAATGTATCCCAAGGAAAGATACACACCAACTTTGTTTTAAAAGAAACAGTGTTTATTAAGAAATTATATGTTGAATTCTCCTACAGTCTGTGAAGATGGTTTCTTCCATTTCCACAGCACAAGACAACAGCTAAGATTATCTGGAAATCACTTGCAATGCTTGGGAATGGAGAGTTCCTAGGAACAGGAGGTGAAATGAAATGATGTATGCACTAATTTAAACTTGGATCCAAGGGCAAGACAGTTTTTTCCTTGGCATAGTCCTTACTTGTATGAACACTGAAACCTGTCCATGGAATCTCATACCCAGGCTGAAGTAATAATTGGATCATTTTAGTTCAGTAGAGCGGAGCATGCTCAACTTAATCACAGATCAAACCAACAGTTCTTTAACTATTGTATCACATCTGAAATATCTGCATTCTTTATTAATAAAAAGGGTGCTTATACAGGGCAGAAATATAACTTTCTCAAGTATTTTATCATTATGATCTGAAGTACTTTAAACTATAAATTAAAAATAAATTATAAAAACTAGCATAAGATGCATCTTTTCTTACATGACATTGTTGGAAATAAGCTTTAAATACAGAATTGCAATATCACCCGACTTTATATATGATCAACAGTGAAACATGCTAATCATAAAAATAGCTTTTACAAATATACATTTGTATATAGTGTGTCTCCCTTACCATTCATAAATGTCTTCCACATTTTAAGACTAAAAAAAAAAACATAATTAGCAAAGGGGAAAACACATTTACAATTCAAACCATAAAAACCTGACAATTGTACAGCTTAGAACATAGAAGAAATGGAATTTCTAAAATTGAGCAGTACTGTCCATTATATTTATTTGGGTTTTTATATAAATTGAACCAAAGATGCTGCTGTCCAGAAAGAAACCTCCTTTCACATTTCTGGTGGTTGTCACAGTTTCTCTTTTCTGCTTTATGGCATCATACATTATTTCAGATCACTTTATCTGTAGAAACTGAGAAAAGAAAAAAAATATTTTAAAATAGAGATTTGTGTTTGATTGTTGATAGCATGCATATACTATATGTAAGTTAGATTTTTAAGGTTAAATCAGGAGAAGAATAAAGGAAGAATTAGATATTTAGGACAAATACTTTTGATAGTGGGTTCTTAGGTCCTTTGCTCTAGGCAATTTTATAATTATTTTCATTTATGGAATGTTACAATTTTTTTTTTTAACCCAGGGAATTTACTGCTTGAGGTCAGCAATTATTTTTTCAACCTGAGCTCTTGTTCAAGTCAAGGGGGAACCACTTAAAGTTCTAGGCTGGGGAAAAAGGTTTGAATTATGAATCTTTGTTGACCCTAACAAGAGTGACCATAGGATACTTACCCTACTATGAGGCTTTGAACAGTGCAGGCCTAAGCCTTATGCATCTGGGATAGGAGAAAAAGCCAATGCAGGTCTTTGATCTGCACTTCACAATCTGAGTTGCAAAAGAAGTTAGAAACACTGAAAGACTTCATGGTACAACCATGAGTGGAAGCATTATGCTGGAGAGGATGTGGAGAAATAGGAACACTTTTACACTGTTGGTGGGAGTGTAAATTAGTCCAACCATTGTGGAAGACAATGTGATGATTCCTCAGGGATCTAGAACTAGAAATACCATTTGACCCAGCAATCCCATTACTGGGTATATACCCAAAGGATTATAAATCATTCTATTATAAAGACACATACACATACATGTTTATTGCAGCACTGTTCACAATGGCAAAGACTTGGAACCAACCCAAATGCCCATCAATGATAGAATGGATGAAGAAAATGTGGCACAATACCATGGAATACTATGCAGCCATAAAAAATGATGAATTCAGGTCCTTTGCAGGGACATGGGTAAAGCTGAAAACTATCATTCTCAGCAAACTGACACAAGAACAGAAAACCAAACATTGCATGTTCTCACTCATAAGTGGGTGTTGAACAGTGAGAACACATGAACACAGGGTGGGGAACATCACACATTGGGGCCTGTCGGGGTGTGGGGGGCTAGGGGAGGTATAGCAGGGTGTTGAGGGATAGGGGAGGGATAGCATTAGGATAAATACCTAATATAGATGACAGGGTGATGAATGCAGCAAACCACCATGGCACATGTATACGTTATGTAACAAACCTGCACATTCTGCACATGTGCCCCAGAACTGGAAGTATAATACTAAAAAGAGCCCAAATTCAATTGGTTGGAGAACTAGCTGAAATTGAATATGAAGATAAAATAATGCAAGAGTCCATCAGTGAAGAAAATCATTTATTTATCTTATAATCCTATCAAGTTCCAGGGCTTTATATTTAGATAAAAAATATTAGACCTACTGTTATCCCATCAACTTCAAAGGTCTTAGGAGTTAGAAAGTCTGTATATGCCTTAAGAGTCAAAGACATGCAAATCAAGATATCAGTTTGGATGGGACATGTTGATTTTCTATAAGTAGCTGGAGAATTAGGTAACTTGACTTTATTAAAGCTTTGAAGCCCCTGATACAAAGTTATATATATATATACACACACACACACACATATAAATATGTATATACAGTTATATATAAAAATATATTTATATATAAATATATTTACATATATTTATATTTATATACATATTTATTGCACTTTAGGTTCTGGGGTACATGCGTAAAACATGCAGGATTGTTGCATAGGTACATACATGGCAATGTGGTTTGTGGCCTCCATCCCTCCACCACCTATATCTGGCATTTCTCCCCGTTATCCCTCCCCAACCTCCCTACCCGCTGCTGTCTCTCCCCGTTCTGCCCCCAACAGACCCCAGTGTGTGATGCTCCCCTCCCTGTGTCCATGTAGTCTCATTGTTCAACACTCGCCTATGAATGAGAACACGTGGTGTTTTTCTGTTCTTGTGTCAGTTTGCTGAGAATGATGTTTGAGTTTTCACACTCATGTGTGAGATGTGCCTTCCTCAAACCTTGTTATGATGTTGGCACATTACCTGTCTAACATGAAAAAAAAAAGAAAAAATTAATAAACTTAACTAAAAATAAAACATACCTACTTAATAGCCTTTTCTATAGTCAAACACATTAAAAAACTTATATCCCTAGGAAAGCAACTTTGATGAATAAGACACAAGTATATTTTGACACTGTATTTTGATATATTCTCTTTCTCTCTCTGTTTCTCTCCCTCATTGCCTTTTTCCTTTTCTCCTCCCTCTGTTTTCCCTTACCCAATTTATACTCTACACTGATCACATATATATGAATTTTGAAAAATGAAAGCTTTATTCAAATGTGTTTCTCGTGCAGTTCCAGGTTGCGTTTATGTACATAGGAAGAGTCAATTTGGTATTTAAGGCACGAAGGTTTGAACTTACTGTACAGCATAAGTAGGCTACTTTTTGTGTGGTTTTGTATATGACCTGCATGCACATATTAACAATGATCAATTATCAATATGAGAATGAATAACTTAACAAAATCAAAGTAACCTATAGATGAACACTGATATATGAAAATAAGATATTGCAATGTTTGAATTTTGGTAGATATCACTTAGGTACAAGAAGGAAATAAGGCTACTTATATGATGGCAATTGCACTTTTCCCTCTTAAGGCCTCCATTGATGGCTTTCTTATTATAAATGGAAAATGCTAAAAGTACTGCAGCAGCTGTGTATGTGAAGCTTACTAATCATGGCGTTTCTCCAGGTTAAGTCATGGTAGATGACACGAATCTAGTATATTCTTACACCATCCTGCATGTCTCAAAAGAGGTAATGGCTGTTTAGCAACTATCCACTTTAAGATGAAAAAAACAACCTGAAGATTTTTTTGTGTATAATTTATTATCCTAGTATAATTTTTTCTTACACCTTCCTTTGCTTTTTGATTGTAAATAATTACATAAAAATAATTATTGGGAGAAGAAAGGTAGGTTTGAAAATAATGTATTGAAATCTTCCTTTTTGCCATAAAGCTTCAAAGCATTTGAATAAAAGAAAAGCCTCATTAACTTTGTATTGTGAAGCAGGCATTATTAACCATATCATTACAAGTCATGAATATATTTCTCCTTATCTAAAAGCAATGGCAAAACATATTCACAAAGCTTTCCATGGAACTTCTAGTCTAAGAAAAGGCTTGCTTTTGGCTGTAAAGCCTGGGAGAAAGAGGACAAACTATGACATTCAGATTGCTTTTTTTCTCAAGAAACATAGTCACTTATGAAGCTGATTGGTTTAGTATAATGTAAAACCAATTGTGCTCTCCTTCTCTGAATAGTGGGTAATTTATCTAGTGGCTGTTGGGGAGCTTGGAAGCTCTTAAAACAAATTCTCCTGATGATGAATGCTTTTTAAACTCTCAATCTCTCCCATTTCTGAAAAAAACAACAAAAGAGAGCTACTCGGATGGACTGGATTGTATTGAGCCAAGCAATTACTTCTACTTGACACAGATGAAATGGATAGTATTAACTTATATGGAAGGCACATTTAATTTTAAACTTTATGCATTCATATATTTAAAATAAAATAGTACAGCAATACATAGAAAGAATCCACCTTATTTACGGCTCTGCCCCAAAAATCATACTTTTAAATAAGCCTTATCACTTCTTCAGTAGCAGAAATGTTTGTTATTTTTGTTCTAATTCAGATTTATAACTAATAAGAAATTAGAGAAATTTAGATAATCCATATTTTTAGGGACCATATATAAGAGAAAAAAAGGTGAAGGAAACTGTAGATAAGACAGGTCATACAACATTTTATAGAAAAGCAAAGTCTTATGAACAGGAATATACGTGTTGCCACTATGGATCATGTTTCTTGAGTAATTGCCCAGCCATTCACTTTTTACAACGTGAATATATTTAGCTCTCACAAATCCCTCATTATAAATGAGATACAATTCAATTCAAATTTTTTAAGTAACAACTAATTCCTAGCACCTACTGTTCATCATAAGTTAAAACTTGCCTTCTGTTAATAAACCTTTAGGAACCAAATTATATTACACTTTTAGGCTAAAATAATCATATCAAAAAACTGTAATGGAATGAAAACCAAAATGAGTGGTAACTTACCGGAATAACTACCAATGGAGGAAACTATTTCATTAAATAGTTCTTGGAGGCTGAATAATCTCTATTCCTGAGTTGATGGCCATTTGGGGTGTAGGAGGGTGAGTCAGAAAACACAGGGGAGAATCATCTGAGATTTCAACTTTAATATCAAGGCCTAGATGAGTAACATCTAATGTGTAATTGCACAACAGGGTGACTATAGCAAATTTTAAAATAAGAGTATAATTGTTTTTAACACAAAGGATAAATGCTTGAAGTGATGGATACCCTATGTACCATAATGTGATGATTACACATTGCATATCTATATCAAAATATCCCATATACTTCATAAGATATACACCTATACATGTACCCACTAAAAATTAAAAAAATAAGACTTAGATGATCATGGCAGAGACTATGCAGTGCCACTTAAGAGAAGGTAGAAGGTTTCCAGGTTTTGATAATTGATTAGAACCTAACTGAAGCTTATTAAGTCAGCCAAAAAAAGAATGGGTTCACCTGAAAGTGACTTCTTTGGCACTGAAAGTACAGAAAAGCAAGAAAGTTTTGGAGGGCCACTTGGTTTTGCCCATTCAAGAACTGTCCACAGGAGAAGGTGTCCAGGTCCTGGTAGTGAACCTAGCCTGTGATGACAGATATATTCCTATTGCAGAGATGGCACATCAGTACTCTCAGAACATTCAGTCCCAAAGCTCACTCTGTTCTGTTTCCACAGCTACTTGTCAGTATTATTTCTTTCTCTGGCAATTCTGGGAAGTAACTCATCTCATGAATGCACCATAGAGTTCAGACATTTTCTTCAGGACAAAAAACAGTGTTGATTACCACTTGCTAGAAAACTGGGTTCGCCAAACGCAAGGCCGCTGTCCTGTGATGTACTG